AAAATATTCTAATAAAAAATTAACAGTTAGCGGTTCTTCTGTATCCCAACCAAACAGCCAACTTTCCTTGCATACACAGCTGAGAGCAGACATATTCTTCTGAAAAATGAGTTCCTTCCTTTTACACACACCACTTGTTGATCTCATACATTAAAAGCTGGGTCATGAAAAATCAGAGGCCAGAGCTGAACTGCACTCCCCAGAATTACACCACCACAGGACACGTTGTGTCAGGAGATAGAGTAATTTTAAAAAGGTGACTAGTTGATGCTAACATAAAACCATACAAGTCATGTAAAACAGCACAAAAGGAGAGCGCCGTAACACTCCATTAGGGCTTGGTGTAGATGTCACGTTCTTAAATGACTTGCTCCAGTGTGGCACTAGTCCTTCGAAGACAGTGAGTCTCACCCCAAATGACATTATTCACGGAAATGATGCTATTTTTGTTAGAGCATCATGTAATACTGCAAATTCTCAGCAGCTGACACATAACTCTCCAGATAAGCAGCAGTGATGCACCACACGTGCCTCTCACTTCGCTTTGCTGTAATACATTTTTACAGTTAGAGAGCCATTAGACTCAGGTTAATTAGTAGTCAGAAACAAACCGCCATATAAGCTACAATTTACTCACCTGATTAAAGGATCAAACGTCATCCCTGGATTACTATTATTCTTGTAATGAGACAGTTCAACTTTAACAAGGGAAACACTGAAGTTAAAAAACTACAAGCATCTGTCCAGAAAACGTCGCAGCACAAGGAGACAGAACAATTTCCATTTGCAAAGGGTGGAAGGTTGTTCTTTACATTTTACGTCAACTGAAGAAATTAATAGTGTTTGCTTCTCCTGAGAATAAAAATATTTTAATAAAAATTGATGGTGCAAATGCAGAGCAAGAGGGTTTTCAAGAGTTTGTGCTTTGAAGGCGTACTTTTTTTTTTAATGTGAACACCTGACAGAAAAGAACATTTCAAAATTCTTATGTATCAAAAAAAACCACTGGAAGCATATTCAGTCAAGGCAGTAAAATGGGGCTTTTTGTCATGTTTAATTGCTTGAATCCATAACCTAGTTTTGCTGAATCTGGACGTTATTGCTGACTCAAGCAGTTTCTCCATTTTTGTACTGTAAAAAGTTTGTATGTGTCTCTGTCTTTGTGAAAGAAAACTAATAAGCTTCTGTGATACTATGATTTTTTTTAAATATTCCTGACCATCAGAAAAATATCCCTCTCCGGAAGCCTTATTGCTGTGCATGAAATCTGTAATTAACTAGAGAACAAATATAGTTTCTGATTGCAACCTGGTGGAAGAAGCCACACTGTGCTTTATTTTCAATGACAATGACGGGAAATCGCAGCCTAAGCAATTTAACACAGTTAACTGAAATCAAATGCAGAGCAGGCACGAGGAAGACAAATATAAAGCAGAAACCCTTAACACTCTATTCCAATCCCCCAAAGCAAACACATTCTCACACTGTCCAAATTGAAGTTCAAGTAAAATAAAAGTAGTGAGCATACAATGTCACTGAAGACAGCAACTTTGCTACGTTCCTTCACATCCCCATTTGATAACTTAAAAATAAAGAAGAAAAAAAAAAAAAAAAGCAACAGACTTATACCTACAGGTACAGAACTCCACTGCTGACGAGATTTCAGGCTACAAAATTAAACTTTATTCACAGACCAATTTAGAAAGAAGTGCTACCAGAAATGAGTCTGTCACATATTTATTTCCTTGTGCAAACCTGTCTGCTACCTCGCCCAAATGCAATCCCACAGCATTTGAATTTTAGAGAAAACATATTTATGATGCCCCTTTTGAAATAAAAAGCCTGCACTTCTCTTCCATCTGGTGACTATGGACTTATGGTATGTCTTGTGTGCAAAAAGGTATACCTGTGAAAATCCATCATCTACCTACCAGCGTATTCTACTGAATCGGTTATTTCCTGACAACTCAATTTATGAGAACTATTCCTTTATAACATATTCCAAAACAAAATTAAAGGCAGGTAACTTCTCTAAATTGATTTTTAGATGGATTGAAAATATGACTATTTATAGCAGAATAAGAAGTTTGGAAAAGTGAATCTTATTCTCACATAAAGTCAATGCATTTCAAAAGTTATACTTAGTTCCTAGGAGATGCTGTGAATTCTACCCAGTCTTAAAACATACATGACAACCCCCAAACCACTGAAAAATCATCTCAAGTCATCAAGGCCCTCTGCAGTCTTTCTTTCCACCTCTAAGTTCTAGAAATACACTATTTTGTGACATAATCATTCTAAGAAAAACTCCCAAAACCTTATCACTGAAGTTGACTAAAAGCTTAACTTTAGTAGGCTTGAGCTATCTTAAAAGTAATTCTTCCTTAGCATGTTACTTACTTAAATTAAAATACGAAGTAAAATTTAGACAAGATATTTTCTATGGTTAAAATTCTCTATACATTTTTTACCCTGGCTAACTCTTCATGGTATTTTTTCACAAATACTGTAATGATAACTTAAAAGCAAGATTTAACCATATATATTTTCCCTCATCTTTCCAATGTGATGCTTCATTTGTCATTATCTTAATAAAATTTACTGATTTTTTTCATGATAATAGAAAAAGTCCAAACTTTTAATATTATACTTAAAGATATTTTTCTAGACCTTTTATAGCATTTAGAATACCACAAGGCTTTCACTGAAAAAATAAATTTATCACTCATTCCTGGAAAAGTTTTATGTTTTATGAGCTAAACTGAGAGCCTATGTGAAAGTTTTATCAAAAAAATAAAATTGAAAAATTCCATTATAAAGGTCCTACTGAAGTAACCCATTAGAAGTCAGAAAGACCAAATATAACACCTTTCTACATAATAAGAATAAAGTTGTTTCATTTACCTACTGTTATGTTATTCGGATTGCAAATATTTATTTCTGTACAAACAGATAAAAACATTAAGCTCAATCTTTCTAAAACTATACTTGGAAAATGGTATAATTAATTCTACTCACACTTGCCGCAGCTATTGGATGGTGAGATGGCACTAACTAAACATAACATCTTGCCCACATATTAAAGGGGAGGCAATGGGAATGCCAGATACTGTATGTTTGCAACATCTAAGATACCAAGAAATTTTGTACTGCTTTAGGAAGAAAACCTCTGAAACTAATAATTAAATCCCTAGTAGGCACATGGGTTTAAAAGAACTAAACCTGATGATTGACACAGACTGTCCACATGCCCTCACCTACAGAGAAGCACCTATAAAGGATCAAAACCAAAAGTCCACCTCGTTTCCATTAAATGATTCAAATATGAAAACAGTGAAACAGTGATAACATATTCCATTACTGCTCTTGCTGTAGACAAGGGTTGTTTACTTAATAGCAGTTTTGCTCACTTTTCAGAAGTCAACCTCATTTGCATGTTCAAAAAACAGACCAACAACGTGCATACTAAATGTATGAGCAAAGAGCTAGAATTTATGATCAGAGTATCAAGACATTCTAAACCTTACATGTCTATTGCTTCATTTTAGAAATATATATGAAATCAATATACTGTACTGGTAAGTATTTCATAACATTGTGAACTTTCTGTTTAATATGTATATAAATCCTAATTACATCTGTACCAAGACCAAATCCCTTATCACTAGAGAACTGTCAAATACACAGACTGGTTTAGATCTTTAACTAAATTACTGAATATCCAAATAAAACGCCTGAGGTGGAATTCAATATACAGACCTGAAAGCAACATGATTTTATGGTGGCTAAACTGTAAGCAAACCCTTACTGTCTGAAATGCAGAGCCCAGCATTCCACTACTAGGCTGTGCCATGGTCTCCTACATGTGACAGCAAGTCTTTTAAAAAATATGATACTCCTATTAAGAGTATGGAAGAGATTCCTTTGTTAAAAGGCAGCAAAACCCACCTTCCCTACTCCCCTCAACGTTTTTTCCACACTTTGAAGTGTGTGGGTTTTTTAAAGAAAGAAAATTGCTAAAGTCATTCAAAATATTTGAATTACTCTGCAGTTATATCTGGGTGGCAACTGATTCACATTTTTAAAATCCCAGTCCTTTATAGTCTATTTCTGCTTTTAAAAATCTATATACATATAAATGGATTGTTAGGCAAATCTACCTGCATGTCTAAATTGTATGTATTAAGAAAATGTTGCTGTTGTTTTGTCCCACGCATGTTAACAAGTACAGTAACAAAACTTTAAAATCCTCATGTAAAATGTGTTTTCTAACGTCGCGGTATTACGCTGAAAATACACAGGTACTCTGAAGTTAAATACGCAACCAGTTTAGTCAGGAATCCTGTAAACTGCCTACTAAAAGGCAATAATTCATCTGACAAAACTATTTCTATTGAAATTCCTGTCATATTTCATATAAATGCTAATATATACCCCATCAAAAGAAAGTTAAACAGCTCTTTGAAGATGAAGTTCCCATAAACTTCAGCCAGTCACAGAGGAAGGACAAATAATTCCCCCGCATCTTATTTTCTGTAAGCACCACATACATTCCTGTATTGCTCACACAGACAGACCCATGCCATGCACACACATGTACATAAACACAGCCATAAAGGTATGCAGGGATGAATACAAGGTGAGGATGAAGCGCAGCCCCGCAGCCAGCCCTGTAAGTTTCCATCCGACACACCTTTGATTAGCCGGCAGCCCATCAGCATCTCTCTCCCGTCGCTCCTGGCTTTTATTCCACCAGCGCCTCGGATCCCCGCTCCAACCACACAGCCAGAAGCCCCACGCATGCACTAACCTCGCCGCATTCCTGTTGGGAAGCCACTGGCGGCGGCTACACAACAGCAACCGAACATGCCAACTCGCCCCCCCCCGTCCCCTCCCCACGCTCGCATCCCAGCCGGGGGCTCAGGGTCGCTCGCAAAGGCTGGCTCCCCTTTCCCCCCACCCCCGCCGCTTCAGTTCTTTGAAACCTGCTTCTGCCTTACCTGAAGGGCATCTCCCACGCCTGCAATTAGCTGCCAAGATTTCATTGTCGGCTGCGAAGCGCGTCCTGCCGCCGCGCCGGGAGGAGCCGGGAGGAGCGGCGGACACCGGGCAGCGGCGCCCCCCGCCCGGGAGCCGTCCCGCCGCCCTGCCCGGGGACACGCTCACCGCCGGCTCCCGGCCCCGCGGCACCATCAACCGCACACACACACACACACAGGCGCGGGATGGCGGTGCCAGGCACGGCCGGAGGGTCCAAGGTCAGCCCGGCCGGGGCAGGCTCCGCTCCGCTCCCCGCCGTCCTCCCTCCCGCTCAACACCCCACGCGTGGCGCGGGCGGCACCGCGCCTCCCCGCTCGCTCTCCGCGGCACCGGCCCCTTCCCGCTCCCTTCCAGCCTTAAATACGGCCCACATGACAGAGTAGGGCACCTTGCACAGTCCTCCGAGCCCACACTTGACAACCCATTTTAACTCGGGAGCGGTGAAATGTCTGAAGGCAGGAGGCGAGCGCTGCCAATTCCTCCGCTCTCCCGGCATCATCCCCACCGTCCGCGGGACAGTATTTATGGCTCTCCATGGCTCTCCATGCGCTGCGCGCTACGCGCTGCTACCAGATGCTAAAGCCCTTCTCCACCTTTCCCCCCTCCCTTGCTGTATCCCTGACGGGCTTTGCAGTAAGTATGTGCATTCAGTGAAGTCATTTTGTTTTATTTGTAGCTAAGAGCAGTTCCACACTAGCTCAGCTAGAAACCACAGCCTTGCGGGAAAGGAAGGTGGGCAGGGAGAGAACAGATTACATCCTATAATCCAGTTATGGAATGTCTGAATGCAAGGATAAATGAAGATATTAGACACGGTGCTAAAGTTTGTAAGGTTCCCTATTTTGATCAACACCATGAAAGCAAAATGTTATATAAAATATTTAACAAATATTTAAGCAAAACGGTCAACATTTTGATTAAATTAATTGTGAAATTCTGAAATTTGTATAAAAATTAACAACATTGCAGACTTAAGTAATTTTTAAGACATAGAGTGGCTGGAACTGTAGCAAAACCTAAACATCTTCCCCAAGAGATGGGAGCAATTAACCCATTTGTGGAGCAGAGAAAAAAAAAACACTGTTTGTTTCAGACAGACATTAAAAATTGACATCTTTTAATGCACAAAAGCATTGTTTATACCCTACCAAATAAGTTATTATATCAAAGTACATCTATTTATGCAACTGAAATGACAAACCGCAAACAAATAACCACTTATACTAAAGTGAAAGATTCTAAGGATACTGCTCAGAGGACCATAAATTCCATACAATTTGTTTTCATACCACACATACTATTCCTCAAAAATAATGAAAAGTTCAGTAAAACATCTTTCAATATTTATCATTATGCTGCAATCAAAAAGAACACTAACAAACTCATCTCTAAGAACAACATTTCTACTAATCATTCCATTTTTGCATATACAAGTCAAAGAACTTGCGCTCATTTTTGGCTGGAGAGACAAAGTTTAATTATGTTCTAATAAAACTGAAAATATAAAAAAATAACATTAGATTCCAATTCTGATTTAAAAAAACAAGAAAAATCATATTAAGTTCTTGCTGTAGTCACGCTCACTTTATTACCTGAAGGAAAGACAACTATCTACCTTGATAGACTATGAGACAATTAAAGCATCATAACAGTAATGAGGCCTGTGTGTAATTTAAACAGCAGAACGTTGCAAGGGCTGGCCTGACCACTGGGCTAATAGCCAAAACAAATCTCAGAGCTCACATTGGCTTATTGTGCGGCCTTGGCCAAATTATTCATCTCCTCAGTTTTCCCACTTGTAACATTAGAATACTACTACTTAGAGTGCCTATCTCCTATCTCCTACTTCTCAGGAGGGCTCTGAGGATTAATGACCCTACAGTGCTCTGAAAATGAATAAACACTAACTGCTAAGCCAGAGGTAATATGTTTCAGAGTATTAAAGCACTGAAATATGAGAAATTCCAATTAAACCACCTCGTGTGTCTGAACACAGATGAACTAAAACACAGGGATTACTAAAACACCGCCTCCTATCATTTACAATCAACAAAATACTATGGGTTGGCTGATAGTTCTGTTATTTAAATCCGAGTTTGATCTTTGTCCAGTCTTAGTATTAAGCTCAGAATTACAATAAAAACAGCACGAGCAGCACTTGCCCCTGCCACCTTAAAAAAATATCCTGTCCAGGGCAAGGTCACTCCCAGTTATAGCAGTCAAGAAACTCCACCATTACCTCTGGCCCGTTGTCTCCAGCCTTTGCAGCACATACGGTCCATCAGAAGACCAGCAATTCCGGCAGATGCTACATGTGGTACTCAGTGCTGTTCTTCAGACTGCAGTTCTTTTTTCAAGTAATGAAAAAGAGTTTAAACCAATTAATTATCTCATTAGCAATAAACAGGGGGAGGGGAGGGAAGCACTAGCATAGAACATACTGCTTCAGAACAAGCTACATCATTCACAAAGTTGTGACAATGATAGTCCAAATTTCCATATCCAACTTAAAAAAAAAAGACAGAATAGTAAAATCCCATTTCAGTCTATAGACTTAACTTGATAAAAAGATTATATACATTTATATACATTCATTTTTACCACTCACTCTGAACGGTGGATAATTTTGGCCTTCGGATTGTTTCTTCCACCTCACACATGAACAAGAGATAAAATGCTCTAATGGGCAATTGATGCCACTGAGTGTCCTTGAATCATTAGTACAGGGTTTGCAAAGCTTTATCATCTGGGATGCCATCCCCTTGTTTGACAGCATGGATACTTCAGTGGATGTGTGGAACTCACATCGGAGCAATGATGTTTATGGAGGAACACTAAAACCAAGAGTTAAATTCCCTGTGAAGTGATCTGCAGGATAAGCAAAAGCTTGAGTCACAAACTGCAACAGGGAAGAACAGGTTCTTGCTATGGTTGAGCTACTAGAGATCCTCGTCCTGACTTTCTTACACACATCATCAGGAAGGCTTCTCTCTAACCTCTTCTGCTGTACTTGCAGGGACAAACATTAATTAACTGAAATATTTGTGATGGCAGTGGCTATGAAAGTTTCTGTATTTCCAGATTCCTATCTTTTTTAGTTGAGATTTTCAAAGAAGTATTTTCAAAGAATTTATTGAATAGTACAGAAGAGTGTCATCACATTATGTCTCATGTTATATCAGAAGTTCTAAATAAATTTAGTTGTTTATTATCTAAGCCCTTACATCCTTTTCTCCTTAAAAGGAGTATTTTTCTTCTGAATTTTCCACTTTACAAAGAAAATTACTTCACAGGGAAATAGACCAAAGTAACTAATTGTAAAGTAGGTGCTCTTTAGTGAATGGTGCAGCTTGTTTGAGTTTTTTTAAAGTTGATCCAAAGGTATGTCTGTCACACTAGAAAGCTTCCAGCTGAAAATTTTCAGTGTGTAATTGGTTTAGTCTTAATTTATTGAACAGAGTTTCTGTGCTATGGGAACTATCAAAAAGCAACACAATCTTTGAAGGAAAATGAAGACTGGTTGCACCTCGAGCAGAAGGTAATTCTGTACCTGTACAGTTTTGCAAACACATTCGATACCGGATAGTGAAATGTGGTTTAATCTTTAATGCATTTATATGTCAAACACACGGGGGCTCTCCATGCCTGACGCATTACTGCTGAAATGATTTCTTTCTACATGCCATCTAATGATCCAGTACTATTACAGAAGGTAAGTCTAATGAAGCATATTCAGATGGAAAAGTATCATGCAATTTATGATAAACATGCTGCAGTTTTATTCCAAAATGGTTTATGGTTACAGTGTGTGAGTCTAAGGGAGATAACCGACATGTTAAGAAACATAACATCAATCATATGTCACAATCCTAACAAGGCAATCGAAGCTGAAGGAAACCTAAACCTGAGAATTCATAATGCTACGCTGAAGCTAAATATAATCTTTCAGAGAAAATCCAAACGATAAGGATTTTAAAACCTGAACTATCAAAAGAAATACAAGCAGACTTGGAAAAACACAAGTTTTTCCTCTACCAAGCAGAATTTAAAATGTTCTCCAGGGGCTGGATTCTGCAAGCATCCACAACATTGCTAACTTCACAATGAGACTCATTATCGGAGTACACAGAAATAAGTGGTTTCAGCATTAGACTTACATAAGGGATGTCCAAAAGAATCAGTGACGCAAAACACTAGGTGTTCTCACAAATTATTTTTCTATATATTTAAAATGCCAGTTTGTCCTTAGCCCCTTGTTCACAGATATTATCTATAAAGAATTTGTAAATGTGATTATATCCATCTGAAACACTTCACTTTACATTATTAGTTGGCGTTAGCCAGCCTTTTTCAAGAAGGTATATTGAAATGGATGTCACTAATCTCAAATGTTCTAGAATTGTTTCGGCTACACATACAATTACAGCAGTTCACCAGTGAGGTAATGTCTTGTTGTAAGTATCCAAAGGCATGCATTTTTGTACTTCTACTGTAATATTAAATGCAAAAATCTGTGAAGTATTAAATGCAAAACTCTATTGGCTATCTTTATATAACAAAATCATGCCCAATTTCATTTGGACACAGTGTAGGAAATCAAGCACTGTCAGTAAAGTAGTAAGACGAATATTATTTCCATGCAATTTTGATGCAAATAAGTAAGTCAGGATCTAATAAATGTTACTTTAAACCTTGCTGCAAAAAATAGTTTTTTGCATAAATGCTATGAAAGGTGTCATAAAAATAACACATCACCCCTGTATTCACCCCCCTGAAAAGGGCCCAAAATGCATATTCTACAGGCTAGTCATTTTTTGCACTGCTTATCCACTGCTGCTTAGCAGGTCACGTTCAAAAAATACTTATACAAAGACGTGAAATAAAGCAAAGTTTCTGAAGATGCATCAGATCAAGCAAAAAAATAACTATCTTATTTTGCTCAAGTATAAGGAAAACACAAAAATCCCCAGTTATCAGAAGCCTTCACTTTAAGGCTATCGACTATTTTTTTCAGATTGTTGCAATGTTTAATGTGAAACGTATGATAATAACGCATCTACAGACAGGAAGAAACAGGTCTCTGAGAAGCCTTGAAGCAAAGAAATTTGTTATGTGCTTATACATATCCACAATCCCATTAAAATGCTAAACTATTCACAAAAAATTACCTTACTAACACAGTATTTTGGCCTGATCAAGGTTTACTAGTTAAGGCTGCAACACAGATCTGTAACACTTCACTATGTATTCTCTTCAAAGGTAATCTGGATCTGCTTTTAGATGTTATTCACAAACAAATCACAACTCTTTGTTTAGCAACATTTAGAAAACACAACTTTTTTTCTGAATCGTGAATTTCCGATTTGGCAATCTTTTTTTGCTTTACAAAGTATTACTGCAAATCATTTCCTCAGCTAAACTGCAAAAGGTTCATTTGTCTAAAGAGCCCCATGAGCAGGAAACACAGATATGATAGTG